CGCAAGTTCAATTGCTTTGATACTACATATATAGGTACTACATGTGGACCTTTCTCAGATTTGTTCATTTCGTGATGATATCTTCAATTCTCTAATTTTGGTGAATATTTTTGTCATTTTTGGTAAAAAGTGAAATTTACGACTTCTTGTTAAAAACCAATAGTTCAATTGCTTTGATATTACATATATAGATACTACATGTAGACCATTCTCAGATTTGTTCATTTCGTGATGATATCTTCAATTCTCTAATTTTAGTGAATATTTTTGTCATTTTTGGTAAAAAGTGATATTTTCGACTTCTTGTTAAAAACAGCAAGTCTGATTGCTTTGATATTACATATATAGGTACTACATGTGGACCTCTCTCAGATTTGTTCATTTTGTGATGATATTTTCAAATCTCTAATTTTGGTGAATATTTTTGTAATATTTGGTAAAAAGTGTTATTTTCGACTTCTTGTTAAAAACCAAAAGTTCAATTGCTTTGATATTACATATATAGATACTACATGTAGACCTTTCTCAGATTTGTTCATTTTGTGATGATATTTTCAAATCTCTAATTTTGGTGAATATTTTTGTAATTTTTGGTAAAAAGTGTTATTTTCGACTTCTTGTTAAAAACCAAAAGTTCAATTGCTTTGATATTACATATATAGATACTACATGTAGACCTTTCTCAGATTTGTTCATTTTGTGATGATATCTTCAATTCTCTAATTTTGGTGAATATTTTTGTCATTTTTGGTAGAAGGTGATATTTTCGACTTCTTGTTAAAAACTGTAAGTCCGATTGCTTTGATACTATACATATTGTTCATTTTCTAATGATATCTTCAGTTCTTTAATTGAAATGTGCATTGCTAACAGCGGAGCTATCTCAGCCGATAGGCTGCTTATTTAAATTTTAAATACTGACAATCAGTTTTCACTCTAATTCAAATATTTATTGTAATAGTAATCGGATCAAGAGCTGAAAATTCAAGTTGTCTTTGCCAATAATGCACATGCATGCCTTCACAGGACATAGCAACTACGACTACGCCTAAATATTCAAAATAAGACACATGCTGATTGGATAGTTTTTAGCTATCTTTTAATATTAATTAGAACAAACAATGATGGCACAATACAATTTTTGGATTGGTCAATTAAGTTTTGAGTTCTGCTGTTATCTTAGAAACTGGCACACTCTTGTGTAAAAGCTGTTCTTATTGTTTGCGTAGAAGATTGATTTTACCGCATAAACTTTAGATAACTAATTAAAATGCGGGCAACCAGGGAAATCTGCAAATATATTCTGTGTGCTAGAAATCCACCCCCCCATTCTTGCATGAAAACCGACTGATGGCGCTATTATAATTGAAACTTCAATCTTATTCTTAAAATATACACTGACTTAGTATTTTTTTCAAAAATGAATCAAAAACATTGTAGTAATGGGTTAGCTAAAACCAGTTTTTGTTATTTGTGGCACTTTATTGGTCTTATTCGGTGACCTTTAACCCTTTGATCGCCATTCTTGTGAAACTCGGAACCAAATCACATAACAAAATCAACAGAGAAATTATTCAGTTATAATAAAAATAATTCCTTATTGTATTGTACCTAATAAGTGAAAATAATTTTTACTATTTTATGCTTCAAAATATACCAAGTTAGCTGAATTGAATTAAAACTTTGTCGTATCGCCGCATTTCTGACAATGTCTACTTCATACAACCGAAATTATGACGTTTTGTCACATATTTATTTCTCTCAATTTGAATTTTCTTTTCAGGGTAAAAGGGACAATCCAAGACTAAAAGATAATTTATTATTTTATACAAATAAGAAGCAATCACAGCCTAGAGGTTTGTATGAATATAACTACAAAAATGTTTGTATAAAATATCATGGAATTTAGATGAGTACTGATCATCCTGCAGTCACCCCTGTGACTATAAGCGTATTGTTAATTACATGTATGCTGTTTACTTTCAGAAACATGGTTTATTGGAATTTGTCTATTGCTTTGTGGTATAAATTTTGGGAAATATTCGCCTGACTTTGAACTTGTTACGGAATTCTGTGGCCCAAGTTATTTTTAACAAGAGTGAATCTTTAGGAATTCATGCAAGTCTTAATATGATTAAAAAAGTGTTAGCTAAAAATCAAATGAAAAACTATCACTAAAATTCAGATTAATAAACCATTTCCTGGTATTTTCACCAAGTAATATCATGATATAGTCCAATACACCTATTCAGAGCACTTAGTGGTTTTAACATCGTATACTTAACAACTTTCTTAATAGGTGATTACATTGATAATATACATAAATATTGGTGGGGAAAATACGATAAATTGGAGAGCCATCATGGTTTCATACAGTGGTAAGTAATTAACAGTCATGTTTCCTCTATTAGTAGTACCAGTACATGTGCTTATGTAAATTACAGAGATGTTTGTTTTGTCAAAATAAGTAATATTTTAATGATTCAGTATACAACATATGTGTTTTTTTTTTGGTTCATGTGTTCTTCTATTGGAGATGCGCTTCTAATAGAACAAATATGGTATTTGTTCAGAATAGGGGTATGTAATCGTATGTGGTAAAAGTCACCTTTTATTGACTGGGTGGAAATTATGGTTCAGGTTTTTGGATCAAGGCTTAGAGGTCTGTGTATTTTGTTAGGTTTGGTTAAGTTGTGATATGATTTGTCTTTGAAATATTTATAAAAGTTATTTACCAATAAAATATTCAAGATAACAGCACATTAGCCTCCCTCCAATATTGACTATGTAATATTTTTGTTATTCAAACAGGCTAATTTACATATGCAAATTTGTTGATGTTTTCTTAAAAGTAACTATTCAGCTACGTTATTCTGTGCAAATTTTGTGAAAATGGGTTTGAGATTTTCGTGAGAAGTCTTTAACATTTTTGACCTCATTTCTGTAGAATATTTTTGCAGTATTTATCAAATAAGGTAGAAGTTGAATTTGTATTGAATCTTAGATATTTTCATTATCTCTGTTGTGTTGGTTGATTCTTGTCTTCACGCATAATTTTTTTTTAAACTTCATTTGTGCTTACAGGAACTGACAGTGTTACCAGATTTTTAAATACCAAATAAACTGGACAAATATTGATTTATTTTTTTTGGTCAACAGGATATTTCCAATCAGGGAAAGTGGAATGAATTCACAGGCGCAAGAGTTACAACTACATGAAGCAAAGGTATTAGTAATTCATCGAGTGCTATAGTGTTATACAGTGACCCCCTCGCTAACTTGTGGGTGTCAGGATCCAAGCAAAAACTGTGATTTATCGGGGGGGTCGTGACTTATCAAGGGGCCCTGTAAAGAAGGTGTTCATGCATTGAAAATAAGTAAAAAACACATGATCAGTTCACCTCTTGTTCAACTTCGAAAATAAATTTTCTTTACTCATCCTTGAATAGTGGACTCGTCTGATAGATCTTGTGCAATCTTTGACTTGGTTTCCCTTTCCTTGACACATTCAATCGCTGCATGTTTTTTACATATAGACAGACTGGTCAGTTGAGAACTAGAGATCAAAGTGACGGATTCAACTCATTGTAGCAAGTTTTATGGAGCTATATCAAGGGGATACTAGCCGAGAAGGACGTAAAGCCATGACTTGACACCTCCTTCGACACCTCCTTGAGTAGGTGCTAAGTTGTCAGTCTTTTAACAGCCAATAAAATACAGGATGCATTAGTTCTTCTACTTCAAAACTGTCGGCAAAACACGATAGAATTTTTGGAAGCCATCCAACTACCCACAACTTGGCGGCTGAAATTGCGAATTATCGATCGAGTGCCAGATAATTTTCCCGACCAAAATTCTTTTTGATTTTCAGTAAATTTCATCATCATTTTGGACCATACAGACAGTTCCAGATATTGCTTTGACTGCGGATATTGCTTATTCATTAAATTTAGAATAATTACATAGAATATCCACATTGTATTTACACTTCCTTGTTATGCTAATTGGGTACCCCCTTAACTTTGGTATGCTAATTGTGTGACTCCCTAACTGTTTCTTATTTACACATCTTTGCTATGCTAATTGTATGACCCCCTAACTGTTTCTTATTTACACATCTTTGCTATGCTAATTGTATGACTCCCTAACTGTTTCTTATTTACACATCTTTGCTATGCTAATTGTATGACCCCCTAACTGTTTCATATTTACACATCTTTGCTATGCTAATTGTATGACCCCCTAACTGTTTCTTATTTACACATCTTTGCTATGCTAATTGTATGACTCCCTAACTGTTTCTTATTTACACATCTTTGCTATGCTAATTGTATGACTCCCTAACTGTTTCTTATTTACACATCTTTGCTATGCTAATTGTAAGACTCCCTAACTGTTTCTTATTTACACATCTTTGCTATGCTAATTGTATGACCCCCTAACTGTTTCTTATTTACACATCTTTGCTATGCTAATTGTATGACTCCCTAACTGTTTCTTATTTACACATCTTTGCTATGCTAATTGTATGACCCCTAACTGTTTCTTATTTACACATCTTTGCTATGCTAATTGTATCTTATTTACACATCTTTGCTATGCTAATTGTATGACCACCTAACTGTTTCTTATTTACACATCTTGCTATGCTAATTGTATGACCCCCTAACTGTTTCTTATTTACACATCTTTGCTATGCTAATTGTATCTTATTTACACATCTTTGCTATGCTAATTGTATGACCCCCTAACTGTTTCTTATTTACACATCTTTGCTGTGTTAATTGTATGCCCCCTAACTGTTTCTTATTTACACATCTTTGCTATGCTAATTGTATGACTCCCTAACTGTTTCTTATTTAACATCTTTGCTATGCTAATTGTATGACTCCCTAACTGTTTCTTATTTACACATCTTTGCTATGCTAATTGTATCTTATTTACACATCTTTGCTATGCTAATTGTATGACCCCCTAACTGTTTCTTATTTACACATCTTTGCTGTGTTAATTGTATGCCCCCTAACTGTTTCTTATTTACACATCTTTGCTATGCTAATTGTATCTTATTTACACATCTTTGCTATGCTAATTGTATGACCCCCTAAACTCCTTGTTTATGCTGATTGTAAGATAATTTTCACAGAAATAGTGGGACCCGCTAACCGTTCAACTACTTTAATCTGAAAATCATCCTGAAGACGACATCCCAGTGTGTACTGACATTTTTTTCAAATTTTCGAACAAAATTGTCTTAATAATTTTTTCAACTGTCAGTCAATTTATATATGTATGCAATTTTTCTAACAGGCTATTTGTGAGGACAAAAAAGCTCATGAAAGAGTGTTGAAGTCCTATGAAATGATGCTGGATTTTTATGGTATGAAACTTGTGAATAAGGATACTGGGGAAATTGAGCGAGCAAAACACTGGGAAAAAAGATATCAAAATTTAAATTGGTAAGTGGACAGTGTTTTGTTTGAATCACATGGTCATTAATGTGGAGTAATATGGTCACCAGTGTGGATTGATATGATCACCAGTGTGGATTGATATGATCACCAGTGTGGAGTGATATGGTCACCAGTGTGGAGTAATATGGTCACCAGTGTGGATTGATATGGTCACCAGTGTGGAGTGATATGATCACCAGTGTGGAGTGATATGGTCACCAGTGTGGAGTAATATGGTCACCAGTGTGGATTGATATGATCACCAGTGTGGAGTGATATGGTCACCAGTGTGGAGTGATATGATCACCAGTGTGGATTGATATGATCAC